AACACTAACACGGGCACCCCAAACCCTCACACACAGACCAACATAACACTAACACGGGCACCCCAAACACTCACACACAGACCAACATAACACTAACACGGGCACCCCAAACACTCACACACAGACCAACATAACACTAACACGGGCACCCCAAACCCTCACACACAGACCAACATAACACTAACACGGGCACCCCAAACACTCACACACAGACCAACATAACACTAACACGGGCACCCCAAACACTCACACACAGACCAACATAACACTAACACGGGCACCCCAAACCCTCACACACAGACCAACATAACACTAACACGGGCACCCCAAACACTCACACACAGACCAACATAACACTAACACGGGCACCCCAAACCCTCACACACAGACCAACATAACACTAACACGGGCACCCCAAACACTCACACACAGACCAACATAACACTAACACGGGCACCCCAAACCCTCACACACAGACCAACATAACACTAACACGGGCACCCCAAACCCTCACACACAGACCAACATAACACTAACACGGGCACCCCAAACACTCACACACAGACCAACATAACACTAACACGGGCACCCCAAACCCTCACACACAGACCAACATAACACTAACACGGGCACCCCAAACACTCACACACAGACCAACATAACACTAACACGGGCACCCCAAACCCTCACACACAGACCAACATAACACTAACACGGGCACCCCAAACCCTCACACACAGACCAACATAACACTAACACGGGCACCCCAAACCCTCACACACAGACCAACATAACACTAACACGGGCACCCCAAACCCTCACACACAGACCAACATAACACTAACACGGGCACCCCAAACACTCACACACAGACCAACATAACACTAACACGGGCACCCCAAACACTCACACACAGACCAACATAACACTAACACGGGCACCCCAAACCCTCACACACAGACCAACATAACACTAACACGGGCACCCCAAACCCTCACACACAGACCAACATAACACTAACACGGGCACCCTCAACCCTCACACACAGACCAACATAACACTAACACGGGCACCCCAAACACTCACACACAGACCAACATAACACTAACACGGGCACCCCAAACACTCACACACAGACCAACATAACACTAACACGGGCACCCCAAACACTCACACACAGACCAACATAACACTAACACGGGCACCCCAAACCCTCACACACAGACCAACATAACACTAACACGGGCACCCCAAACACTCACACACAGACCAACATAACACTAACACGGGCACCCCAAACCCTCACACACAGACCAACATAACACTAACACGGGCACCCCAAACACTCACACACAGACCAACATAACACTAACACGGGCACCCCAAACACTCACACACAGACCAACATAACACTAACACGGGCACCCCAAACCCTCACACACAGACCAACATAACACTAACACGGGCACCCCAAACACTCACACACAGACCAACATAACACTAACACGGGCACCCCAAACCCTCACACACAGACCAACATAACACTAACACGGGCACCCCAAACACTCACACACAGACCAACATAACACTAACACGGGCAGACAACATAACACACACGGGCACCCCAAACACTCACACACAGACCAACATAACACTAACACGGGCACTCACACACAAACATAACACTAACACGGGCACCCCAAACCCCCACACACAGACCAACATAACACTAACACGGGCACCCCAAACAACACACAGACCAACATAACACTAACACGGGCACCCCAAACCCTCACACACAGACCAACATAACACTAACACGGGCACCCCAAACACTCACACACAGACCACATAAACTAACACGGGCACCCCAAACACTCACACACAGACCAACATAACACTAACACGGGCACCCCAAACCCTCACACACAGACCAACATAACAGAACACAAAAGGCGACACATACAAAGGAACAATAAACTTACGTAACATAAGTAGCTTAAAAATTTACAAAGAATAAAATATGTACAGAACAAAATAAAGAAGCACACACACACACACACACACACACACACACACACACACACACACACACACACACACACACACACACACACACACACACACACACACACACACACACACACACACACACACACACACACACACACACACACACACACACACACACACACACACACACACACACACACACACACACACACACACACACACACACACACACACACACACACACACACACACACACACACACACACACACACACACACACACACACACACACACACATACACACACACACACACACACACACACACACACACACACACACACACACACACACACACACACACACACACACACACACACACACACACACACACACACACACACACACACACACACACACACACACACACACACACACACACACACACACACACACACACACACACACACACACACACACACACACACACACACACACACACACACACACACACACACACACACACACACACACACACACACACACACACATACACACACACACACACACACACACACACACACACACACACACACACCCACACACACACACACACACACACACACACACACACACACACACACACACACACACACACACACACACACACACACACACATAATTTTTGCTGATGATGCAAAAATTATGAGAAGAATCAAGACGGATGAAGATAGGCAGAGACTACAGGATGACCTGGATAAACTGGAGGAATGGTCTAGAAAATGGCTGCTGAAGTTCAACTCTGGAAAGTGTAAGGTGATGAAATTTGGCGAAGGGAGCAGGAGGCTGAACACAAGGTATCATCTGGGAGGGGAAATCCTGCAAGAATCAAATAGAGAGAAGGATCTGGGGGTTGATATCACACCGAACCTGTCCCCAGAGGCCCACATCAAAAGAATATCATCAGCGGCATATGCTAGACTGGCCAACATAAGAACTGCCTTCAGAAACTTGTGTAAGGAATCTTTCAGAACCCTGTATACCACTTATGTAAGACCAATCCTGGAGTATGCAGCTCCAGCCTGGAGTCCATACCTAGTTAAACACAAGACAAAGTTAGAGAAGATTCAGCGGTATGCCACCAGGCTCGTCCCGGAACTGAGAGGATTGAGCTACGAGGAAAGGCTAAAGGAGCTGAACCTCACATCCCTGGAAAACAGAAGAGTAAGGGGAGACATGATAACCACCTACAAAATTCTCAGGGGAATTGACAGGGTGGACAAAGACAAACTCTTCAGCACGGGTGGGACACGAACAAGGGGACACAGGTGGAAACTTAGTAACCAGATGAGCCACAGAGACGTTAGAAAGAATTTTTTCAGTGTCAGAGTAGTTAATAAATGGAATGCATTAGGCAGTGATGTGGTGGAGGCTGACTCCATACACAGTTTCAAATGTAGATATGATAGAGCCCAGTAGGCTCAGGAATCTGTACACCAGTTGATTGACAGTTGAGAGGCGGGACCAAAGAGCCAAAGCTCAACCCCCGCAAGCACAATTAGGTGAGTACAATTAGGTGAGTACACAGGTAACAACAACAACAACAACACACACAACCCACAACCCACAACCCACAACCCACAACCACACGCTCGCTACCCCACCACACGGGGCGCGTGCAAGACAAACCACACCAAAACCACCCAGCAGAAGAAGCCACTCAGGAGCCAGGAAAGGAAAACATGCCCACACACACTCACACCAAATCGAGCCCGAAGGTAACGGGGAGAACCAGCACACAAACACAGGAGCAGCCTCAACAGAAACAAAACACACTCATCCCGCCCAGCCCCTGCCGAGGAGGCCCCCTGAAGGGACGGGGACCCAAGGGAAAGCCGAACAGATCTACCCCACCCCCCCAACCCGCAACCAGGAGCCAAGAACCCAACCCTAACCATCCTACACCCCGAGACACGAAGACCCAAAGATCCCCCCCCAAAGATGGGGGGGGATCTTTGTAGGAAGTAGTGCATATCGTGCACGTTAAATATGCAACCAGTAATTTGTGTGCGTGAAGTCACATTTGTTATACAATATATACATAGATGGGATAATTAGCGATGTCAAGGTAAGACTCAAGAGGGGGTATAACCACTGGTGTATAGACCAAACACAAGTACTGTACGGTAACTATGGTATGATATATTTAACACGTGCAGACAAGTCAGTACTTTTAGCAGTTAGAGATTCCTGTAGCTACTCTTTCACTCTCACTTTGTCTGCCCAACTTTTCAATCTATCCTTTCTTCACCAGTCTATCAATTGTTTCATGAATGAAATACCTAAGTGAATAATTCCTGCCCGAAACGCTTTGCGTAATAGTGGCTTTAGGCATTGTATGTACTAGCTCTATCTATAAAGCCAACAAACTTTGTAAAATCTCTTTATGTATGTACCTTACCTAAATAAAAATTATTATTATTATTATTGAATATGGCCAAACCATCTCCATAAACTTTATAGTGCAGTATATACGATCTGGTGATGTACCAACTTTTTGACCCTGAATCTTTCCATTAAATTTGAATCACTTGCCCAATCTATTCTCCAAACAACACACGTGCATCTCTATTTTTAATTTCTACTGGTCCAGTTATTTGTAATTTCATGTTCATGTAATTCATGTTTTCATGTAATTTGAACAACCACTACATGGTTGTTCAAATTACAACCATAATTTTATGGTTGTACAGCTGCACATTCCAGCTAGAGTTATAACTCTGTATATATTTGTTATGAAAAATATATCAACATAATAAAGCTCTAACAGATGAAACGTCATTTTCCATAAAGTATACTTTAATTTTAGCGTTTTTGTAAATACTTTGTGAACTGGCAACATAACAGCAGTTCTTTAATTCGGATATACAATGTTGATGTGTGTTTGAGCTTTTTTGTTCAAAATGTATTTGGAACACAAGGCACCCTATTGTCCACTAATTGATACCACCCTATTGTCTACCAATTGTTACCACGTTTTAACTGATGTTGTGTAACCTTATATACAGCTGTGCTTTAAATATTAAAAAAAATCTAATTATAAAGCTTTGGAGCTCTAAGAGTTCTTGGGGATTATGAATTCTTCGCAAATATTGCACTCTCAAAATAAATTAATAATAAAACATGCAGGAATGTTGGTCAACATCAGAACATATTAACCACTTCCAGTTTCTCTTCATTCAAATACAAGCACATAGATGTACAATATTTTAGTGATCTTACCTTACAGCACAGTTCTTTACGTAAGTGTCAAGATCCTTATCCTTGGTAGTAAATCTCTGGCCATTGACACCACTGAAGCTATCACCAGCATCTCCAGTATACCCATTAACCTCAACTTTATAAGAGGCACTCCGGTCATGGACATAAAAGAATTGGTACTGTGCCCATCGGATGCCATTGTCAAAGTCTGCCAGGTCAAAGTGTATTTGGTTGAGTGTCTGCTCAGTGAGGGCGTGAATGTGGTCGAGTCCAAGCCAAAACTCGCCAGAGAGATTACCAAAGCCCAAGGCGTATTCCATCCATGTGCGGTAGAATTCTTCCCGCGGGAGTATATCTTCTCGACGCTGAATTACAGTCCATCCTCCTCCATTAGAGTCCATATCACAATAGACACGAACAGGACGTTTTGGGCAGCAGTCGTACGGATAGATGGTGTAAACACCACTGGTCTTGTGGCCGTGATCTTGCAGTTCACGGCAATTACGATTTTGGAAGCCAAGCCGTAGCCACAAAGGCTCTGTCAGGTACGAATTAACAATGGTGTCCTCTGCCGCCACCAACAATAACATACTCCCTGTGCCTACTACCACCAGCATCCACAGTGGCTTACCCATCATCCACTTGATAAATCTGAAATATATGAGATTAATAAATACTTATTTTTAAAAGTTATCAAGTATAGTTCCTCTACTATAGTAGATGTGATGCCTGACACTGGTCAGGTAACGGAGGCCATCTGGGTCGACCTCTACTATACTAGATGTGATGCCTGACACTGTTCAGGTAACGGAGGCCATCTGGGTCGACCTCTACTATACTAGATGTGATACCTGACACTGTTCAGGTAACGGAGGCCATCTGGGTCGACCTCTACTATACTAGATGTGATGCCTGACACTGTTCAGGTAACGGAGGCCATCTGGGTCGACCTCTACTATACTAGATGTGATGCCTGACACTGGTCAGGTAACGGAGGCCATCTGGGTCGACCTCTACTATACTAGATGTGATGCCTGACACTGGTCAGGTAACGGAGGCCATCTGGGTCGACCTTGTGCTTTAATCAATCTAGCATGAAGACTGACACTAAATCACTTATGACTCACCAGTCCAGAGATCTAGGAACTTGGCCAGTCACCTTCCAACAATTTCACTGAAGGGAGCCACAGTGGGACTGACCCCAACCTGCCAATGTTGGGTACATAACCCACTGCAATCACTGTGCGAAGTTGGATCAGGGTTGCCTCCAAGCATAAAGGCTTCAGACTCTGTGGTATAGGTATATACAAGGCAACATACATTGCATTCATATCCTAGACCAGTGATATAAGTGAATTTGTGAGATCTTACAAGAGCACTTAAGAGACTCCATTGGGATTCAGATCGTAAATTTACCGAAGGCGTCAGCCAATGGGATACTCTTGCAGGCTCTTCACCCCAACTCCAGATGACTGGAAACAGACCCACTGCAATAGGCCAATAATGGAGAACATTGCTCCAGCAATGCTGGAGGCAGCTTCTAGGAAGAATACAGCATACCGCACTGTGCAAGCCCCTCATGTTGGGGACTTCCTGTTGGCTATCCCTAATTCCTCCTTGGGCATCCATCTGGGCCATCAGGTCTTAAGTATTGGTGTTGCTCTGATCTTTGCCATCCCTCTCTCCACCGAGCACTGGTGTATCTGCAGCTGGTCTTAAGTATTGGTGTTGCTCTGATCTTTGCCATCCCTCTCTCCACCGAGCACTGGTGTATCTGCAGCTGGTCTTAAGTATTGGTGTTGCTCTGATCTTTGCCATCCCTCTCTCCACCGAGCACTGATGTATCTGCAGCTATGCATCAACAGACCAATGCGGCAACAATGGTCTCATCTGTTGCAAGTCAGGAAGACTATCAAACATAAAACAGTCGATGACATTACGAGGGTTGACTACAGCCAAGTGTCCAGCACAAAGGGAGCCTCAAATGTGCAGACCTAACAACAATCACAAGTGCCCAAATGGAGCTACCCTGTAACCTTGGAGAGACGGTAAATAGGTTGTGTGGGACTACATGTGTGCATCTATATTAGCTAATACCAAACAATGGCACATTTAAACTGAAGGTGGTGGGGCTGCCACCTTCAGAGAGACCCAGAAAACCATTAAGTATGGGGACTTTAGTTCAGGACTGCCGTGGGTGAACTGACTCCTATCGACCAAGATATCACCCACATCACTTCTGCGGACTAAAAATGTGACATAACGACCATTTGGAAATGCAGGATGAAAGAACTAACAGCTGGATCCATCAAGCACAAATAGATGAATAAAAATATGGTTACTAAACACTATTCAAACACCAGTAAACTACATGGTTCAACACTTGCAGAGGGTGGACCAGTACTTGCCGAGCATGGACCCGGTACGTGGTTCAACACTAGCCGAGGGTGGACCCGGTACGTGGTTCAACACTTGCCGAGGGTGGACCGGTACGTGGTTCAACACTTGCAGAGGGTGGACCAGTACTTGCCGAGCATGGACCCGGTACGTGGTTCAACACTAGCCGAGGGTGGACCCGGTACGTGGTTCAACACTTGCCGAGGGTGGACCCGGTACGTGGTTCAACACTTGCCGAGGGTGGACCCGGTACGTGGTTCAACACTTGACGAGGGTGGACCCGGTGCGTGGTTCAACACTTGCCGAGGGTGGACCCGGTACGTGGTTCAACACTTGCCGAGGATGGACCCGGTACGTGGTTCAACACTTGCCGAGGGTGGACCCGGTACGTGGTTCAACACTTGCCGAGGGTGGACCCGGTACGTGGTTCAACACTAGCCGAGGGTGGACCCGGTACGTGGTTCAACACTAGCCGAGGGTGGACCCGGTACGTGGTTCAACACTAGCCGAGGATGGACCCGGTGCGTGGTTCAACACTAGCCGAGGATGGACCCGGTGCGTGGTTCAACACTAGCCGAGGATGGACCCGGTACGTGGTTCAACACTAGCCGAGGGTGGACCCGGTACGTGGTTCAACACTAGCCGAGGGTGGACCCGGTACGTGGTTCAACACTAGCCGAGGGTGGACCCGGTACGTGGTTCAACAATTGCCGAGGATGGACCCGGTACGTGGTTCAACACTAGCCGAGGGTGGACCCGGTACGTGGTTCAACACTAGCCGAGGGTGGACCCGGTGCGTGGTTCAACACTTGCCGAGGATGGACCCGGTACGTGGTTCAACACTTGCCGAGGGTGGACCCGGTACGTGGTTCAACACTTGCCGAGGATGGACCCGGTACGTGGTTCAACACTTGCCGAGGGTGGACCCGGTACGTGGTTCAACACTTGCCGAGGGTGGACCCGGTACGTGGTTCAGCACTTGCCGAGGATGGACCCGGTACGTGGTTCAGCACTTGCCGAGGGTGGACCCGGTACGTGGTTCAACACTTGCCGAGGGTGGACCCGGTACGTGGTTCAACACTTGCCGAGGGTGGACCCGGTACGTGGTTCAACACTTGCCGAGGGTGGACCCGGTACGTGGTTCAACACTTGCCGAGGGTGGACCCGGTACGTGGTTCAACACTTGCCGAGGGTGGACCCGGTACGTGGTTCAGCACTTGCCGAGGGTGGACCCGGTACGTGGTTCAACACTAGCCGAGGATGGACCCGGTACGTGGTTCAACACTTGCCGAGGGTGGACCCGGTACGTGGTTCAACACTTGCCGAGGGTGGACCCGGTACGTGGTTCAGCACTTGCCGAGGATGGACCCGGTACGTGGTTCAGCACTTGCCGAGGGTGGACCCGGTACGTGGTTCAACACTAGCCGAGGATGGACCCGGTACGTGGTTCAACACTAGCCGAGGGTGGACCCGGTACGTGGTTCAACACTTGCCGAGGGTGGACCCAGTGCGTGGGGGTGGACCCGGTACGTGGTTCAACACTTGCCGAGGATGGACCCGGTACGTGGTTCAACACTAGCCGAGGATGGACCCGGTACGTGGTTCAACACTTGCCGAGGGTGGACCCGGTACGTGGTTCAACACTAGCCGAGGATGGACCCGGTACGTGGTTCAACACTTGCCGAGGGTGGACCCGGTACGTGGTTCAACACTAGCCGAGGGTGGACCCGGTACGTGGTTCAAACACTTGCCGAGGGTGGACCCGGTACGTGGTTCAACACTTGCCGAGGGTGGACCCGGTACGTGGTTCAACACTAGCCGAGGGTGGACCCGGTACGTGGTTCAACACTTGCCGAGGGTGACCCGGTACGTGGTTCAACACTTGCCGAGGGTGGACCCGGTACGTGGTTCAACACTTGCCGAGGGTGGACCCGGTACGTGGTTCAACACTTGCCGAGGGTGGACCCGGTACGTGGTTCAACACTTGCCGAGGGTGGACCCGGTACGTGGTTCAACACTTGCCGAGGGTGGACCCGGTGCGTGGTTCAACACTAGCCGAGGGTGGACCCGGTACGTGGTTCAACACTTGCCGAGGGTGGACCCGGTACGTGGTTCAACACTTGCCGAGGGTGGACCCGGTACGTGGTTCAACACTAGCCGAGGGTGGACCCGGTACGTGGTTCAACACTTGCCGAGGGTGGACCCGGTACGTGGTTCAACACTTGCCGAGGGTGGACCCGGTACGTGGTTCAACACTTGCCGAGGGTGGACCCGGTACGTGGTTCAACACTAGCCGAGGATGGACCCGGTACGTGGTTCAACACTTGCCGAGGATGGACCCGGTACGTGGTTCAACACTTGCCGAGGGTGGACCCGGTACGTGGTTCAACACTTGCCGAGGATGGACCCGGTACGTGGTTCAACACTTGCCGAGGGTGGACCCGGTACGTGGTTCAACACTTGCCGAGGGTGGACCCGGTACGTGGTTCAACACTAGCCGAGGATGGACCCGGTACGTGGTTCAACACTTGCCGAGGATGGACCCGGTACGTGGTTCAACACTTGCCGAGGGTGGACCCGGTACGTGGTTCAACACTAGCCGAGGGTGGACCCGGTACGTGGTTCAACACTTGCCGAGCATGGACCCGGTACGTGGTTCAATACTAGCCGAGGGTGGACCCGGTACGTGGTTCAACACTTGCCGAGGGTGGACCCGGTACGTGGTTCAACACTTGCCGAGGGTGGACCCGGTACGTGGTTCAACACTAGCCGAGGGTGGACCTGGTACGTGGTTCAACACTTGCCGAGGGTAGACCCGGTACGTGGTTCAACACTTGCCGAGGGTGGACCCGGTACGTGGTTCAACACTTGCCGAGGGTGGACCCGGTACGTGGTTCAACACTCACTGCTTGCGAGAGTAGAGGTTATGCTGGAGATGAAGTGAGGCTGTGTTGATATATATATATAGTGGCGCTCATTTTGTTCTCTCACGTCTCGCCTAATACAATGTAAAGTCTGTCCTGACATTCTCAGAAAGAACTCCTCTGCCCCGCCTACCACCTTGGGAAACCCTGCTAGGCTGGGGAACCTTGGGAAACCCTGCTAGGCTGGGGAACCTTGGGAAACCCTGCTAGGCTGGGGAACCTTGGGAAACCCTGCTAGGCTGGGGAACCTTGGGAAACCCTGCTAGGCTGGGGAACCTTGGGTCACCCTGCTAGGCTGGGGAATCCACACATTCTCCATCTCCACAAT